TGAGTGGTGGCTCCTTCAGGTGAAGTCACTGAAAGGGGCCTTTCTAAGGGAGTTGGGACGACCTTGGCTGTGGGTGGGTGGGTGTGAGAGGTTGACTAGGGTGGGGCAGGACAGGCTGCTTAGAGTTCAAGGAAATTTGGGGATTCCACGACTTTGTCTCACCTGTGTCTACCCAGATGATTTCATCCCAAAAGTTTCTGCAAATGCCTGCTCCTCACCAATTGTGTTCTTACCTTATTATTAGTACGCGATTATAGCAGTGGGATGAATAAGCTATCAGGGAGGGAGGGGAAGGGCATCTGGCCAGTTTGCCAATGAGACAGAAGCTGGAAGAAAAGAGTCAGTGAGACCAAGGCTGAGGTGGGGGAGACTTTATTGAGTGCTGCACCCAGATCCATTTTGGATTTTCATAGATACACGTGATCATTCTGGTTACAGGACATCCATCAGCAAATGCCATGGAACTCCTGGCAGACACAGGAAAGAAAGGTTTGCTCTGTCCCACAGAATTATCAGGAATGGGAATTCCAGGTGCCTCCTTGACATGAGGGTCGTGTCCAGGTGCAGTCTGGCTCAGACATATGGGGGCACATGGGAAGGAGGGGCAAGAGTGCCAGTGACATGAGGTGCCTTATCTTATAGGGAACAGGCAGGGTGGGTTTCATTCCATTTCCTCAAGGGCTGGAAAAAGAAGCCCTGAGCAGGGAACTCATTGTCCAGCTCCGGAAGAGGATATGTGTCAGGTGTAGTCACTTGTTGGGAAGAACAGATCTTCAGGAGCTACCTGAGAGTTCCCACTAGAACCTCAGATCTTGCACTGGCAGCACACGGGGGCACAGCAGCTGGACTGGGAACAGCAGGGCTTGCAGCAGCTAGATTGACAGCAGGATGACCCACAGCCTGAGGAGCAGCAGCTGGGCTTACAGCAGCTGGACTGGCAGCAGGATGACCCACAGCCTGAGGAGCAGCAGCAGGGCTTGCAGCAGCTGGACTGACAGCAGGATGACCCACAGCCTGAGGAGGAACAGCAGGGCTTACAGCAGCTGGACTGACAGCAGGATGACCCACAGCCTGAGGAGCAGCAGCAGGGCTTGCAGCAGCTGGACTGACAGCAGGATGACCCACAGCCTGAGGAGGAACAGCAAGGCTTACAGCAGCTGTACTGGCAGCAGCCACAAGAGCCACAGCCCCCCTTGGATCTCCCACAGGAGCCACAGCCCCCCTTAGAGCCCCCACAGGAGCCACAGCCCCCCTTGGATCCCCCACAGGAGCCACAGCCCCCCTTGGANCCCCAAAGAGTCTGCAGAAAGTGATTTATTTAGGCAGAGAGAGAAAAAGGAGAAAGAAAGAAATATAGAGAGCAGCTTCTACCACGTCGTGGAAGGGGATCCAGATATGGAGTCCGCACCAACGTGGGGGAAGGGGATTTTTAACTTGGGAGTAATTCCTGCCCCATTCAAATTTTCTGTCCTGTGAAAGGAGTTCCTTCAAACTCCCGTTGGAGTGATTGATCTTTGATTTCTTCGTGCATGTGCAAAAGTTAACAAAGCCTCTAAATCTCCCAGATGGAGACGTGGAAGAAGGCAGGTAGGCCATGTCTCTGGGAAGTTCCTGCCTTTGAAACTACTCCCCCTGTGGACCCAGGAAGTGACTACATTCCCTCACCATACCCAATAAACCATTGCCAAATGCACTGACGATTTTTTACCTGTTCTTTGAAGGATTTTATGGTATGGCTTTTATGTTTCGGTCTTGAATCCATTTTGAGTCAATTTTTGTGTATGATGTAAGATAACTATCCAATTTCATTCTGTTGCATTTGGGTATTCATTTTTCCCAATACCATTTGCTGAGGACACTGTACTTGTGCCATGGCACGGTCTCGACACCGTTGTCAATGATCACGTGAGTGTATACACAGAAGTTTATTTCTGTTCTTTATTCAAGTCATTCCATTGGCCTATATTTCTGTCTTCATGTAGGAACCACTCTATTTTGATAAACTGTAGCTTTGTAATTGTTTTGAAATCAGGAGCTGTGATTTCTTCAATTTTGTTCCTTTCCAAAATTGTTTTGGCTATGCAGGTTTACTTGATATTCCATATTAATTTTAGAGTTTTTTAAAAATGTATTTCTGTTGTTCTTAGGGACCAGGTGGTGTTTGCTTACACGAGTAAGTTCTTTAATGGTTATTTGTGAGATTTTTTTGCACTCATCACCCGAGCAGTCTACACTGCATCCAGTGAGCAGTCTTTTATCCCTCACCCCCTTCCCACACTTTCCCACTTAGCCCCCAAAGTCCATTGTGTCATTCTTATGCCTTTGGCTTATCAGCTTAGCTCCCACTTATGAGTAAGAACATATGATGTTTGATTTTCCATTCCTGAGTGACTTCACTTGGAATAATGGTCTTCAATCTCATCCAGGTTTCTGCAAATGCCATTGATTCATTTCTTTTTATGTCTGAGTAGTGTTCCATTGTATATATATACCACAGTTTCTTTTTCTGCTCATTGACTGATAGGCATTTGGGTTGACTCCACACTTTTGCAATTGCAAATTGTGCTGCCATAAACACGTGTGTGTAAGTATTGTTTTTGTAGAATGACTACTTTTCCTCTGGATAGATGCCCAGTAGTGGGATTGCTGGATCAAATGGCAGTGCTACCTTCAGTTTTTTAAGGAATCACCACACTGTTTATCATAGTGTTTGTACTGGTTTACCGGCAGTGTAGAAGTGTTCCCTGTTCATCATATCCATGGCAACATCTATTATTTTTTGATTTTTTGATTATGGCCATTCTTGCAGGAGTAAGGTGGTATTGCCTTGTGGTTTTAACTTGTCTTTCCCTGAGCGTGAGTAATTTTGAGCATTTTCTTGATATGTTTGTTGGCCATTTGTACATCTTCTTTGGAGAATTGTCTACTTATGTCGTTAGCCCACATTTTGATGGGATTGTTTGTTTTTTTCTTGATAATTTGTTTGAGTTTGTTGTAGATTTTGGATATTAGTCCTTCCTCTGTTGTATAAATTATGAAGATTTTCTTCCACTCCATGGGTTGCCTGTTTACACTGCTGACTTCCTTTTGGTGTGCAAAAGCTCTTTAGTTGAATTAAGTCCCAGCTATTTATCTATCTTTGTTTTTTGCTCTTGGGTTCTTGGTCATGAAACCCTTGTCTAAGCCAATGTGTAGAAGGGGTTATTTCAATGTTATTTTCTAAAAATTGTATAGTCCCAGGTCTTCGATTTAAGAGCTTCATACATTTTGAGTTGATTTTTCTGTAAGGTGATGGATGGTAGGAGTGTTCCTGGAAGTCATTCATCGTCTAAAAGATAAGAAATAATGGGACTACAGTTGGAAGGGACTCTGAATCCCGTAAACGTATCCTACTGAACCAAAATGAAATTAATTCTCCAGTTTTCATTCCCCATAATCAGAACCCCAAAATGAATAACACCCCAGCAATATTACCTTGCACAAAGCCTAGGTTGGGG